CTTATAGCCCAAATCTTTATATCATCCTCCGAATCTGGCTATTATGATATTTTTAAAATAAAAAAGAGAGATGTTTTGCCATTCCCTAAACATAATCAGTTGTTTGAAGTGTTCACAGATGCCGGTTATGGGAATTTACCAGTAAAAGTTATAAATTTAGATTTCCTATTGCTGGAGTCAAAGGGGCAATTTAGCAATTAGCTAAATAACGTTGAGTCTAGATGGAGTGTGAGTTTTAGGCATATCCTTTTATTGAATATAAGCAGGAGTTTAAAAAATTCATTCTGAACATGCGCTGTTTCTTTCTGCCAAAACAAAGAGGACATTAGGAGACACTGCTTTGGAAAAGATCCCTGGTGTTCTCCTTACTGGCTACAAGTAATAAATCCTTCTTTCTCCCAGGGGAGAAAAACAAAAAAAGGTATACTGACATTGAAGTTGTATCACTAAAGAAGATTATCACACAGTCAAATGGATTCATAAAAACACCTCTCTCAACAGGGTAACATGGGGGCTAAATGTGACACAGATCTGCTTAACTTGGCTTGGTACATAGTAAATACTCAGTAAACGTTAGCTACGATCACCTGCTTTGGAGAAGTTATCTTATTCAGCACCTCATAAAAAAACCCTCAAACACATATAGGGACTCCCTTATTTTGGTCCTTTCCCCCCCCAGTTACCATAACAAACTACAGTGCAAAATGGAGGCTCAGCAGAGATCTGAGGTCATCTTTATGATTTATCATTTTTTGAAAAGTGCAGGTCCTCTTAAAACTTTCAAGTTACTGTTATGTTTTCTTTATTTTTCTTTAATAAGAAATGCTTCTGATATGTATTGCAGGTGAACAAATAAACAAAATTGACAAATGCTGTAAGTCTTTTACAGTTATCTGAACACAAAGAATAAAGTATGATCAAACTGATGCACATTAGGTGAGCTTTTTCCTGTACCTGGCTCCTCTGACATATTCAGAACCATTTCTCCTAATCACTGGTTTTGTCTTCTGGCTATGCCTTGGCATTATCTACAAACTCAATAAATGGAGTATCCATATTTCATAGGTGAGACTCAATGAATCAGGACAACAGTATTAGAGTAGGAAAAAAACCCAACAAAATATCAGGCCTCGTATGTTTTTGTTTATATCACTAAGCATCATTTCCAATCCAGAAATATTTTTTAAAGTATTCCTTTAAAATACACATTTTTTTTTGTGGTATGCGGGCCTCTCACTGTCGTGGCCTCTCCCGTTGCGGAGCACAGGCTCCGGACGCGCAGGCTCAGCGGCCATGGCTCACGGGCCCAGCCGCTCCGCGGCATGTGGGATCTTCCCGGGCCGGGGCACGAACCCGTGTCCCCTGCATCGGCAGGCGGACTCTCAACCACTGTGCCACCAGGGAAGCCCTAAAATACACATTTTGAACTATCCAATTACATAAAGCTTGCCACTTGGCTAACTCAGATTTGGGAGAGGGATGGTACAGGTTGGAGGGGATTTACAAAATTAAAACGTGTCTTTTTAAAACCAAAAGAAACATATACATGCATTTCTAAGCACACAGCCTATTTGCCTTTACAGTCTGCTGATAAACACTGATTTTTAAACATAGTATGTAAAATTAAATAACATGGAAAAAATAAATATGCTTTATTATATAAACATATAGAAATCTGTACTGCTCAAAATATTCAGATAATACTAGGCTTGGCTGCTTAAAATGTATTCGGAAAGTATGGTAGTGATATTTACAATCTTTATTTTTGCTAGAGATAGATGTGGTGAGGTGATAAAATACTGATGTCAGACATTTTCTCTTCCTACCTACAGAAGCTGCAAACTTTAATATGAAAATGAGGTAGACACAAATTCATAAGTTGGCCAGGCAGAAACAAAAGCACAGTTCCTTCGTGAGCTCATAAATTCTCATTATTCGGGTCGACAGGCATTACTCCAAAGCACCTAAAGCAAGGCTCAGAGAACACATTTAGGTTTTGGCATGAAAAACTCACACAAGCAATTTCTCCTAAGGAGAACCATGGTCTCCAAGGCAATCAGCAAGCAGATACATGGGGCAATGCCAAAAGGAAGGCTGGAGGACCATCTTGGATAGGTGACATCACCTAGCAACCTTTTTGATTTTATCTTGAAGCAGCTTACTCTAGAATGCTACAGATTTTTTAACCCACTTCCCACTACAGTTTGACAGCTCTCTTTACATGTTATCCCTCTAGTCACGGGATGTGTGCATGCAATAGGCAAATCAGTGTTAAGAACCTTATTTCAAAAAGAAAACAATACCAAGTCTGAGTGCAAGGACACGTTCAAAAGAGGACAGAAAAGACGAAATCTGGGGAAGGTGTTTTCCGCAATCACGATTCTAAATCTCTAGTGACTTGAGCCAGAATTATGGGTCTTAAAATGAGTACCTGAAGCCTACATTCACAAAAGCTTCATTTTAGAGAGCCTGGACACCACGCTAACAGCCATTTGGAGTTTCTCTCCTAAATACTGCTCCTTGGTAACAACTGTTGAACAAGCCTATCTTCATTTTGACCTTGGAAAGGACTCACACAGCGATAGTTGCTTCTCGACACTATCTCCAGCTTGGGAGTACTTGGGGAAAGAAAGCAACAAGGCCGGAGGGGGACTAAAGGCTACCCTTGGTCTCTAATAAATCGAGTTCACTTTCTCTTGAAAGCAACATGTTAGCACCTTGAATACAGTTTTTGTTGTTGTTAATGTCACTCTCAGTTACAATGATGAAGCACCATAGAAGTGGCTTTATGGCTGTTAACACAATTCACTGAGGTATGCTTCAATCTAGAATTACTAAGAAATTGTACCAAAGCATCAATAAAAGACAACATAAAAGTAAAATCCAAATCCTACAGTAAGACTCTAAAAGGCTGCCCTCACACACATAATTTAAGTAATAAATTACAAATGGATCTATTTAAATAAAACGCTTTTGATTTAGTTGTTTTAAACATCACAATAAAAAGCCTTGTAGGAGTGCCCTTGCTCCCAGGCTGCAGAGGCATTTGAATATATATTTGAGGAATGATCACTTTACAAAGGAAGCATTAAAATCGCAGAGGCAGCAAAAATATTTTCAAAATCTGTGTATTTGCTCCCGTGCCTTACAGGGCATTTAGAAGCTCTCTCTCTCTTTTTCTCTGTGTGCTTCAGAAAACTATGTGCAGGCCCAAGAACAACAACTACAATAAGAAAAACTTAAAGCCTTCAGTTAATTAGCAGATTGTATTTTAAAATTTAAGCACTTAAGCTCTTAAAATATCTGTGGGAGAGGGTGGGGATCCGGTGTAAAAAGAAATCAAGCTGTGTTTAGGAAGTGTTCAAGAAAGAGAATGCTGTGGAAACTAATGTATATATACTATATAATATACATTGTATATATAGTATATACAATATATAGTGCATAATATTATATTATTATTATATATACACACACACCTACCCTCTGAGGGTTAGGAGATGTTTTTTGGTTAATATTAAAGAAACACAACTTTTTAGAAAGCTACTAGATTTTTTGATATATACTCCAGTGTGGTATTGGTGTTGGCTGAGTGAAAAGGGGTGAAAATATAATGGGCTCAAGAGGGAAAATTTCATGAAAAATAATATGTAATAGGTGACTTAGGGAAGCTGGAATGTCAGAAGATGTTCTTGACATTTTAAGGTTATTTCTGATCTTTTTCAAAATGTTCATTTTGGGAGAGAGCCAGTATTGCAGACAAAACACTCTGGGTGAACAATACATCTGAAATGCCCTTGAATAAAATCCTTAGAGCCCAGCTGAATAGTACCAGTTGAGATAATGCTCTAAATTCTTCTAGATTTCTACTTAATACAAAGTACAGTAGTTATACAGCTAGAGTTCTACCTGCAGACACAATCTCCGACACTGAAACCCTTAACTCTTAGAAGTGTCAACAGGTATTAGCCATGTCAGGTCAGTTAATCTGCTCTTTAGTTGGTTTTAGGAATGGTTAAGACTTTTCCTCAGAACCCTATGGAGTAAAAAAGGCTTTTGGGAATGACTTAATATAATATTAACTCAGCTTCAGTGCAATGAATGTATTCACAGGAACGTTTACTCTGTTTACATGAAACAGCCCTAATGACTCCATACCTATGGCACAATTTAGCCACAGTCTCATTTTGACATAGCCTATCCTTCTGTTTGCCAAGAGCTGCCCCAGAAGTTTGCATAGTATTTACAGTGGCGAATCTGTCTCACAATGTCATTTAAAAGTAGATCGCAAAGGAAGCCTAGGACCAAAGAAAAAAATGGTCTCAAACAGGCTTTGTGTCTTGATAGAAGAGAGAACATTTCAGGTGCCTTGAATGGCATCAGGTCACTGAGTCCACTTTTGGTCTTTTGAATTTTCCAAATGGTTTCAGTCAATTTTGTGGGCACAACCTTTTTGGTGATTGTGTTGAGAGCTGCACCCGAGTCACAGAGAGGCAAGGTATAGTCTCTGAATCAAAAATTGCTTTGGCCTCAATAAGCAGGTATCTTCCCACCAAAGTCAAAACTACCAGCTTAGAAAAGGAAAGAATATCTGCTTTTGAGTTGTCTGCTTAAATCACTTTGGAGCTTAATAACGGCACGGAGTTATTTAGTTTCTTAAACACACACACACACACACACACACACACACACACACACACACACACACAAATATATATAGTCTAGTTATAGGAAAGGATGCTACTTCTGGGCATTGGCAAAGGCCTGTATGAGGTACAAGTCTGTAAGGCCTGTAAAGTCACTTTGGCAATCTCATAAAAAATATTAATTCTGTTGTATGTCAATATGAAGAAAATAGCAGACTGTGTAACAGTACAGTTTCAGGGATGCCCTTGTGAGGAGGATCATTATCTGTCTCAAAGGAGTGACCCAGAACACCTTGGAACTGGGCATGTTAGTTACATATTTTGCTTAACAAACATGAATAGTTAGGGCCGTACCGAACTCCAAGGGCCAGTACTCCATGCAGCGTCTTGAGGACAAGCATGTGTGTTACATTGCTCTCGATCTGGAGGCTTGTCAAGAATTTCACAGCTCAGATCTAGAAACCGTTCCCCGCTGGGCCGCTGACAGACCACCAGTCTTGTCCGCAAGCCTCCACCGCACAGCTTAGTACACTGGAAGAAGAAAAAGGAAGGCTGCAGTTATTTTGCCTGAAGAGCCAGTGGCAAATTTTCTTTTCCCGTAAGAAAAACGTCTTAGCCAGACTCTATTACAGCATCAGGCAAGGTAAGTCTGTAGGCAGAATGAAGCTGAGTTACCAAAAGTAATATACACAGCAGACCGGAGACCTCTACTTTCATGGTACGTATTGTTTATTGAGCATTAGCTCTTCATCTGTACTAAGTGCTTATATATATATTATCTCATCAGGAGGCGAGTGTAATTATTTGCCGCATTTTATATATGGGGCAACTGAGCTTAAGAGAGTTTCACTTGATCAAAGTCAATTCAACAGCAGGTGTCTAGGATAAGACTACAGCTTTTTTTTGAGGTATTCAAAACCAAAAATCAAAGAAACAAAAATCTAAAAACTACTCAGTACCAAATAAGGGAAATAACGACTTAGCTGGTTTTATTTTCTGGCAACCTCTAAGAAGTTGTCACCAACCTTTGTCTATTTATTCTGTGACTCTAGTCTCCATAGACCTTTCTGACGTTCAAATATTTTATGTTATCTCTGAATCTGAGGATAATGATGGCTTTCCCCTAGGATGAGTAAACAGTGTGGTGGGAACATTGGATAAGGTTCTGACTGTTGGCTAGACCCACACTTCTCAGGCAGGAACAAGTTGTATTTCTTGGACAGTACCGCTGTGCTCACATCCAGGAACACTGACTGTTCCCCTGCTGTGTCAAGGCCAGATCTCCCACAGAATTTGGAATGATCTGGTCCGTGCTGACAGCCAGCATCCCAGCAAATGCGTGTACTCTCCTGGCTTCTATCCAATTACAGAAGCTTAAGCACAGGCCCCAAGGGACAGAACTTTACGAGGAGTTTTGGGAAACCCACAATACACACGTCTCCAAACCTGACTTCCCCTTCCGGCCTTTCAGCAAAGCCCTCCAGAATGACGTATTATCACCGAAAGTTAACAAACTCTCCGTTATGAGTGCCTATGACTACTAGGTTACGTGGATGAAAGCATGCAATGTGGACACGTGATTTCGTTTAGCCAGGGGTGTGGACAAACATGCCCGTCCATCTCATGTGTCTTTGTTCCCCTCTTGGCAGGGTGTGGGGGGGGGTCTCCACGATGTTAATCCTCGTGTGTTATTTTATAAATTTTACAGTCAAGACAGAACAACTCAACAAACTCTAAATATGGGTTCTCCCTGTGGATTCAAGAGTAGGGAGATATATTCTTTGTTAATTAAATACAAAACAATAAGCATCTAAGTCCTACACATGATAGTGGCCTAAAACCCCATTCGATAATAATAGTAATGCTAATCAGTATTATTGGGAGTAATAATACTGATTATCATTATTATAAAAGCAGTTAACTGTGATTGAAGGCTATGGGCTAGGCTTTTGACACGCACTATCTCATATAATAGATGTGAACACTGTAAAGTGAGTGCCATTATTATTCCCATTTATAGACGAGAATACAGACATTTGGCAAAGTTATATTATTTGTTAAAGCCACAAAGCTTGTAAGAGCCAGGCCTGGGAATGGGACCCAGTTTTGTCTGCTCCAAATATTCTATTGCCTTTCATTGGTCATAGCAGGCAATTCTTAAAAGGTAACAGCTGAAGAATTTTATTATTTGAGACTATACAGCTAATTATTCATTTCTACCATTAAAATGCATCATCACCTTTGATAGGAATAACAGCTCCTATTCATTCTGGTTCATCAGGGATTTGAAATATTAGGAGACACGATGCCATGGGAACAAGGGTGCATCACAAACACCCCAAAACTATGAAGAAGATGGCAAAATTTCCATTGACTGATTTAACACACATTTTCAATCACTTTAAAAGCACCCATGTTTTAATCAGCAGAGGTTAACCATTTAAAGTAGCATTTTATCTGCATTCTTTCCTAACTCTTCTCTCCTATGCAGTCAAGCTGTCTCTACTTGGTAATAAATGCACTTTTAAAATAGTCCAGAATTAAGACTGTTCTCCTAGTTAATCTGAAATCAAGAAGCTTTAACTAGAGCTAGTTCTTTCCTTCAAATAAACTATGAACAATAACACTGTTTGGTGTTTGTTTTTTCCCAAAGGATGTATAAGTGGAGTTTGCTCTCACCTCTCCCCAGCTGCCATAAGCCCACTGAGGGCAAGGGCCAGATTCGCAGGATCTCTGCTCATCGGGTTTGATTCTTTCCACGCAGTCGTTGGCGGTGTATCCATTTTCATCCTGACACACAACAACGCGCCGCTGGGACCCACCAGCACAGGTACTGGAACACTGAACACAGCAGACATCAGTCAACAGGTTAATCCCTACCTCGATCTCCATCTCAGGGACACAAAAAGCAGCTGGTTGAAGGATCAGAGACAAATGTGGCAGAAACCATTCTCAAGTCGTCCACAATGGACAGAGAGCAATCCTGAGAACCTCCCTCCTGTGGGGCTGTTTAAAGTTCACGTCTTAGCAGCACCTGCGGGGCAGAAACACGGCTTCCCCCTTGAGCAGGTTAGGTCTCAGTAGGTGTTTAATCAATGCCTAATGAGTGATCATGTCTTGGGATTTCCAAAGCTGTCCTATTCATCCTTTGCACCTCTGAGAGGTTACAGACGTGCTGACTGACACCACAGTCTACTGGGAGATTCTCTTCTTTTCAAAACTGCAAGCGCTTATTTAGAAACAACATTTAACCTCCCTTTCAACACCGGGGTCAAATCACGTGATTCAGGAATTGCCAGTTGTTGAAATTAAGCTTCTGTACTAACTCCTTCAATTACCCAAGGAAAGCATCACGGAATGTCACTTACATATCATTTCCTTGCAGGTAACGTTCCCGTCTCTCCCTTGGCAAAAGCCTCTACTTCGGAGGCTAACGGTAGCAAGATTTGTTTTCCTTCTTTATTTTCATTCCCCAGTGAACTTGAATTCCATATTGACAGACCTCTCTTCAGGTGCACGAGCCTACTGCTTACTCCCTTTCACGGTTGTCATAGAATTATGTTCACCCTTCAGCTAATTTCCCACACAAGCTTCTCATAGCTCTCTTACTTATCTACATCTCGAGTGTTTTTTTCTCTCCATAATTTCCTTATCTTTTGAAACCTGATGTGTTTGCTAGTCTCCTTCACTCTGACCCTTAACTTGTACAATCTGTTTGCTTGTAAAACAACCACCTATTCCTCCAAGCAACCCAATTCTCAGGAATTATCAAGTCTCCCACCGCATATGCAACATTGTTTTGAGTTCCGGGTTCCAATGGCTGATTTGTGCTATCAAACCCCAGCTCAAACCAGTATTTTTTCAAAATACCCATAAATACTGCTCCTTGCTGGTTGGCTTCTTCCATATAAAGATGTGAAAATGTTTATTTTTTGCTTATTGTACTGGACTTCAGTTCAATTTCCCTGCCTATGCTGGTCAAATTATGAATGATTTTCAAAAATACTGAGTTTAATTTTTAAATGTAGAGCAGGAAAACAGATTTATGAATTCTGTCTGAGCAAATATTTAGTGTTTTTTTTTTTTTTTTTTGCGGTACCCAGGCGTCTCACTGTTGTGGCCTCTCCCGCTGTGGAGCACAGGCTCCGGATGCGCAGGCTCAGTGGCCATGGCTCACGGGCCCAGCCGCTCTGCGGCATGTGGGATCTTCCCAGACCGGGGCACGAACCCGTGTCCCCTGCATCGGCAGGCGGACTCTCAACCACTGTGCCACCAGAGAAGCCCGGTAATGTTTGATTTACAAAAATCATACCTCTATTCTCTGAGAGTTCTGATACACTCACTCGAAACTTAAAAATATTTGTTTTCTACTTTTAAACAGCTTATTATGTGAGAAACACAGAGAACTATTATTTTAATCGGCTTTGTTTGGGGACAAGAATTTAAAACATTAGGAAGGACCTTCCATATTGTAAACAGATTTGGAATATATATATTTTGGCCCTTGAATTTTTCCTTTGATAATAAAATCTTGTATTATTTGTTTATTATGTCACCTGTGTTATTGTCCCAATAAAATGGTAGGCTCCTTCAGAAGGGATCAATGTCATACTTGTGTCCCTATTAGATCCTATAGTGCTGGTCACAGGATCTACTGCCTGATCCAATTAGCGTTTCTAGAAGCAACAGTTCCATAAACCACATGCTACCCTCCCTTCAATATGGCTGAGTGGAGCAAGGAAGGATAACAAATCCAAGGTCAACTAATCTACTGGCTGCCCAGTGACCAGTCAGATGCTTCCTATTGAGAATCTGACCAAACAGATATAGTGCTCAGCTGGGGGCCAAGCAATTGCGCCATACAGTCTAGAACTTGTGCTTGCACAGTTCTGAACCCAGCATCGGCCTGGGTCTTTATACTCCCATACACAGGTGACGTATTGTACATCATCTTTCTCCAGGTCCAATTTTGCCATTTTTTGATTAACAGGGATTCTTAGTTCCATTCTCATGTTACAGAATTTCACTCTGGACTTACTTTGTTAACAGTTTTCCTGTCCTCTTTAGATGCCATATTTTCCCAGGTAAACGTTCCTTCGAACAAACCCTGTACCTATCATCCACACTGAACAAAACAAGAGAGAATGGCCACTAGGGAAGCAAGAGATGATGGACATCTGGTATTTTTATCTGCCTACTACACTTCCCCTTAGCACCCGGCAGCCCAATTTTCCTTTAAGGAATCATTTCTCTGCCAATGGATGTCATCTTAGTGGCACTGTGTTTTAAGATGCTCTACATTTCCCTGATCAAGGAGTAAGAGGAACGGGCTGCCAGTCAGACTTTCCTGGGAATTTGAATCCTGAGCAGAGCAACTCAAGGGTGGTTCAGAGTAGAAAAGGGCTCATTAAGACAGAAACTCCTTAAAGAAATGTATCATACTGGGGCTTCCCTGGTGGCACAGTGGTTGACAGTCTGCCTGCTGATGCAGGGACACGGGTTCGTGCCCCAGTCTGGGAAGATCCCACATGCCGCGGAGCGGCTGGGCCCGTGAGCCATGGCCGCTGAGCCTGCGTGTCCAGAGCCTGTGCTCCGTAGCGGGAGAGGCCACAACAGTGAGAGGCACATACCGCGAAAAAAAACCCCCCAAAAAAACAAAACAAGAAATTATACTGTAGATACTGTTGCATCTAGAGATCAGAGATTGGCATTTGGCCTGGGGCCCAAATCTGGCCTGCAAGCTGTTTTTATAACTAAAGTGTTATGGAAACACAGCCATTTCCATGTGTTTACACATTGTCTATGCCTGCTTTTGTGCTAAGACAGCAGAGCTGGTTAGCTGCAACAGAGACTGCATGGTCCACATAGCTGAAAATATTTATTACCTGGCCCTTTGCAGAAAAAATTTGCCAACCCCTAGCTAGATCCCTGAAGGTGTTCTGGTCCCAGTTTCTACTGGGGCTAAATGAACAGTATTGTTTGTTTTGCTTTCCCTTGAAGGAATCAATTCCTTTTCTTTTGCTTGCAACCAGAGACCCCTAGTTGGTAACACACCAAAAAACTTACAGAAGGTTCTGGTTTACGCAAAAATATACTGTAAAATGAGGTTCTCATTCCAGAAACTACTGAAAACGTTAGATTCCCATTCTCGAGTGTTCATGGTTCTATGCTGCCTTTCCTGCTGTGGCAGGCAGGAAGAACCATGCATCCCGAACCACGCAGAGATGTATACACATGCCACACTCTCCTGGGAGTAAGTCAGGCACCTCAGCCTACAGCTGAAAAATCACATTGTCCACCTTCAGCCTCACTTAACTTAGAAAAAAAAAAAATCCCCAAACAAAAAACAGGCACAGTGAGAAGAATGGTATTGCCCACTGCTGCAGAAAGGTTACCTAATCCTCCCTAATTGGGAACTCTGCCCAAGGGCAGAATCATTCAATCTTAAAGGAATGCATTGTCCACAAATGTAGTCCTAAATAAGAATAGCTTTCAGTGCCTTTTTTTTTTTAAGTTCTAGTGTTATCATTAGAATACACATGTTGGAGTTGTGAATTTTTTCCACTGGAAAAATCATGGGACACTCAGTGATGACCTCTCTTGATCACCCTTTAATTTCTCAGAACCCAAATTTCTTCTAACCCAGGCAAAGGAAGCCTCAAAGTGGGAAGTAAGGGAGGAGAAAGAGGTGGTGAAGGTCCCAGGCAGATGTTCTGCTTACAACCAACAGGTGCAGTGTGTGAAAACACTCAGTGGCTATCTGCATTCACAGGAAAGTAAACCTAATTTACTGAAACATAACCATGGTGGGAAACCGACAGGTTCCTTCTAATGCTTTTTAGTCCAGAAATAATTGAACACAATTAACAGTACTAGAAGGAAATAAATAGTAAACAATTAAAAAGAAGACTTCATGAGTGATTAATAAACACCAAACTCCCCATACCTCCCCAGGGTCTCTTACTACCTACCCCTCCTGAAGTTCCTTTAGACATGTCCAGTATTCCACAATAAAACTATTTTTTGGAAAGTTATTCAATAAAAATTCTGAAACTTTCGAGAGCATATTTTTCCTTTGAATGCTAGCTAAATATTATTTGTCAAGGTCTTCCTAATTTGAAGGACAAAGATAACGATAACAATAAAAATAATCATCGACATTTATTAAATTTTCACGATGGTGGGCAGAGTGTAAAACACGTTATTTGCATCGTTGTATTTAATTCTTACGACAACCCAAGAAAGTTGGAGTTACTGTTAACTTTGTTTCACAGATGAGGAAACAGGCTCAAAGAGGAGAGGGGACCTGCCAAAGACACCAAAATGTGAAAGTGCAAGTCCTTGGATCAAACAGAGGCATCTTTCCTTAAAGCCTGTGCTGATAACCATTCAGTTACGGAATTTTCCCTCTAAGCACAGATTTTACCCAGCCTACTCCTTCTCTCCTAATCCATGACAATGATCTACTACTACAAATGGCATAGAAATTGTGCCACGTCAAGACTACACTCATCGGGAAAATAGCAAGAAGGAAAATGACTTTCATTAAAAACTCCCTTTCAGAAAAGTTCTTTTGCCCTTTTAATTTTCCTTCAGGTAAGAGCTGCCTGCCACCTCCAGGATCAATCATCACAGCTTCACATTACCTTCCAGGAAGCTGTCTGATCAAATCATCCAGCAGTGACACCCCCTCCCCTCCACCCAGTTAAGGTAGCTTAGAGGTGCGGGCAGACTGTCTCAAGTGACACCTCTTCTGGGACTGCAATTAACCTCAACAAATGAAAATGCACAGCGTCAATCCCTTCTGACATAAATATGCTCCAGAGGTGTTTCTAGTTTGTTTCCCTCCAAGCACTATATCAAATGAAAGAGAAGAAAGCAAATTCGCAAAGCCTTCAGGGAATACTCACTGCTCCCCAGGGGCCAGTCCTCCACTGGTTTCCTCCGAGCACGTGGGTGCGGCTAGGGCTGACGCTCCTGGGGCGATAACCCTCGTTTTGGAAAGGGTGCTGAGCGAGGCCACTGTCTGGGGTCCGCTGAGGGCATGGTGACATGGAACAGTCCTGGTCGGTTTCTGGGATATAATCCGGGTCACACTCGATTTGATCGATCACGTGGTCACTGTAGTTGACACAGACCACTTGCCGGGTGGTCCTCCCTTGCCCACACGTCACAGAGCACTACAATGGACATTCAGAAAGAGAAAGGGTGGTTCAGCCAGTCGTTCAGGCCCAAACCCCTGGCATCTCCCCGTCTCTTTTCTTCCCACCTCATGGTCATTTTCATGCAGAGGCCCTGTCGGCCCAGTATGCAAAATACATCCCCATCAGCCACTTCCCACCATCTCAGCCATCACCTCCCTAGTCCAGGCCACCGCCTTCCCTTGCCAGGATGCAGTGGCCTTTCAGCTGGGCTCCTGTTTGTAATCTTGACGCCTTCCTCCCAACCCAAGCCTGTTATCCACATATCATAAACCATGACCCTTGCAAACAATAGTCAGATCATGTCATTCACCTAGTGACTTCCCAATCCACTGTGAATAATGTCCACAGTCCTTACCTTGACCTAGTAGGCCCTTCATGATGTGGCCACTGGCTACTTTTTTTTTGGTGGTGGCATGCGGGCCTCTCACTGTTGTGGCCTCCCCCGTTGTGGAGCACAGGCTCCAGATGCGCAGGCTCAGCAGCCATGGCTCACGGGCCCAGCCGCTCCATGGCATGTGGGATCTTCCTGGAGCGGGGCACGAACCCGCGTCCCCTGCATCGGCAGGCGGACTCTCAACCACTGCGCCACCAGGGAAGCCCCTGGCTACCCTTTTGACACATCTCTTATCACTCTCCACACTGCACTCCAGCCCCATGGGCCTTATGGATGCTTTCTGAGCAGGCCAACAACACCCCCGTCTGAGGGTCTTTGCAGCTGCTCTACTTTCTGCTGTACAACATGGATATCCATGTGGTTCACTGCTTCACTCCATGCAAGCCCTGCTCAATGCAATGTGAGGCCTTTTTTGACCACCCTGTCTAAAAGCATATCACCTCTTTCTCTCTGCCATTACTGTGTTTGACCTTTTTTCTGGTACGTATCAGTATCTGGTGCTATATCATATATTTATACCTTTATTTGCTCATTGACTGGAATTGCCATTGGAATGATCTTCATAAAGGCAAGGACTTTCTTATTTGTCAGTCAGTGCTCTTTCTGAATACCTGGTGAGTAGACAGATGGATCTGATAGATGTACGTGTGTATGTTTGGAAGCTCAGGGCGTGAGAGTGAGATTATCTACCATTTACTGAGCACCTTCTTTGTTCTAAGCATTTAACAGACAATCTCAAATAATCCTTACAACAGCCTTATAAGATAGATATTCTTTTTGGCCTCTTTTAAGAGCAGAAGAAACTGAGGTTCAAGGACTAACACCAGACTGCTCAAGGTCATGCAGCCAGTTAATGTCAATGTCGGGATTTTTACACAGCTCTCTCTGAAACCAGCTCTCACATTTCATATATGTATTATGGTATTTATTGAGATATTCATCTCCATTCTCTTCACCTGTCCTAAGCTCTGTATTTCCTGGAGTCGGGAGCTTTTGCAAGGCAGAAAGCAGGAGTTACCTGAACACAAGGGTTTTTCTACTTCTATAAAAGTCCGCAGGTGGTTCCTGGTGTGCACAGGAGGCTGGGTCCCCAGCATTGCCTGAGGGTTCCTGCTTCTCCCTCTCGGCAGGGAAGCCAGAGGCACAGGACTTGAAGGGACCATGGGATGCAGGAGGCATCCAGATGCAAGTTGAGGCCCTCCCCTTACTCCCCCCACTTCTCCCTGCTACTTCTGGTACTCCACAAGCCTACTACATTCTAATGTGACTTGGCTCAGTTAAGACTGCATTTTCCAACCAGCCCAACAGGATGTGGGCTTAAGGGGTTGTAAGTTGACTTACACATTTTTTAAAAATGTGCATTTCTCGCACATCTGGCCAAGATTCATACCAGCTGCACATAAGCGGAGAAGAATATCTCACAACCAAGTCCAATTATAAAACAGCGCCCGTTGACCTTGGGGACCCACGACTAGTCATCCTCCTTACAGCTCCCCCAGTCCTCTCCCAATTCCAAAGAATTCACTTGCTTACCGGGTTCCAGTCCAGAGCCTTCCACCGCCCACAGGGGGTCACAGAACATTCCTCCTTTGCCACTGGCCTAGGGAGGGTTGCACAGGCACTCTCGTCAGCCACAGAGCCATCCTCGTCCCGACAGCTGACATATCTCATCCGGGTACCTTTTCCACAAGTGGCTGAGCACTGTGTGTTGGAATAAAACAATGCAGAAATGTTATCTGAAACAGTCACTCACTGCATAGAAACCTACTTTCTCAAGTCGTGTCAGAACGTCTGCCTTCCCTCCCACCCTCTCTACTTATTCCGTTCTTACTGGTGTCCAAGACCCAAATCGCCACTGGGTCCTTGGAGCACTGTGTGTGCTTCTCCTTGCTTCCGGGGCAGCGGGGGGAGGGTGACAAGACGGTAATTCACAGTCCTAGACGCGGACGGGAAGAAAAAGCCAAAGTTACCTTTCAGTCATGGCGTATACAAATATAAGGACTAAGAATTCTAAGATCTCAGGCTTCTGGGTGATTTGGGGCGAGTCACGTGACACCTCTCAGCCCCAACGACAAATTCAACTGTGAAATGCGATATAATCTGAGTCCCTTTGTGGGTGCCTTAATTCAAAACCACATTTCTTTAGCTGTCTGTGTGAAGAAGGTATTGTAAAATGACACACAATTTAGGAAAGAGCAGCGTACCCTTTTAAAATGATTAACTGTTAATTTTTTCAAACATTCTGCAAGCCAGTTTCTGTTCCTACATTTCAATTCACTTCCTCATCAGATTTTGCTAACCATGAACTTGCTTTCCGAGTGTACCCGCAGATAGCTCCTGAGGCCCCGACGAAGGTCAACTCTAGACACAAGAGGTGTATTCAATATCACAAAGCCTAGAATTTATATCACACCCCTCAATCACTCAGAGGCAGTTCCTATGATGGATTGAGGTTATCCATGCGTAGGTAATATTCCCAGATTTCCAAATGGGAAATCGGAAGTACACACCTGTTCACAATCATTCCCAGCCTCAGCGGTTATCAAATGTTCTTGGATTAAATACATACTCATTAAATGCCCAGGATGCCCGGGCACAGTGCAAAGTGCTGGAGGCTCAGTGCTGAAGTGACTTTAGGAAGTTTACCAATTGAACAGGAAATTCTGTTATTTGGTTCAGACCTTGCCTACTCCTCTGCCTGGGGTCCAAAGAATGGCACAGGGAACTTGTCGCACAGTGAAAAATTTATTCACATGCTGCAGCTGCAAGAGCTGCCCTATACTATAGTCAGTCGTCCATGGATATTACTGAATAACTTAGAAACGTATGTTGTGAATCTCTAAGGGAGTCGCTAAGACCTTACTCTCTCTGTGTTTAGATGTTGCAGCTAATTCCCAGGCATTTATCATGCAGTGGGTTGGAACATTTCAATAAAAAAAATAAAGATGACACAAGTCACAAGCGGTGTTTGGTTAACTGATCAGCAATGACAGCATGAACAACACTGCCATATTCATTTCCTTTTCTGAGACTCTGCATCCATCAACAACACATGTTGCCAAGTAGCAGACTGAGGGCACTCAGAGCCGAGGCAGTACAGTGGCCAGATGGGGCCTCAGAGCATAACTTCTGGGTGTAGTCTGGGTTCAAATCCTGTCTTCTGCAATTAGCATAGCCGATCTGCAAACCCCAGTCTTCCCTTTACATATTCTCCTTACACAAATGATGCCAAAATCAAGGTCCACATGGAATAATGTGCTGGTGAATGATTACCAACTAGCTCTCTCGAGAAACAAGGCGTGCTTATGCGTGTGTACAGATATGTATGTGTATATACATATATACATACACACACATTACATGCACCTATGCATGTATATATATGCTTGTTTATTATAAGCTTTTCTGATATAAAGAATGTGTAGTATAAAATTTACAAATAACAATAAAATATACAATTCTTTAATTTAAATTTCATAGAGCCATTGATTCTTACAGAATACTTTTGTTGTTTTTGCTGAACTCTTGAATCTGTGGCTGAACGATGGTTGTCATTGCTGGACAAGTGTAGTTCTGACATGAATGTCAGTTGATATTTTGTTTACACTTAAGAGTATCGTGAAAGAGAAACAATGAAGATGTATGTCAGAACTTTGCTCACTCACCCGATGACATGAACAATTTCTTTGCTGAACCAGCAAATAATTTTCAAATACCAGAAAAATATTTCCTTATTTTTTTATGCTATTCACAACATAACAGCTGCAGACATAAGACTTTTAAAAGTTTAGTCTGCATTATTAACATTTGTTCCCTCACTTTTTTGAGTCTAAACAATCAATACAACAATCAATTAAACTCTGAATTACAGCACCTACTGATTTCTGTGGTGTAAGTACTCTCACCATGGCCAGTTTCAAGCTACCAACTTGATATCAATGAACAGAGTTAAAAAGGGATGTGCAGTAGCTCACCACTATACAGTATTTCCACCTTGCAAATATGTACAAATGCAATGCAAATGAGAGTGAACTACAGGAAAATAATTAGAAAGGGAAAAGTACTTCTCAACTTAAGTTTTAATATCATCTATTTATTTACAGGTTTTTATTTTCAATTTTTAATAACGGCTGAATTTAACAACCAGCTTGCAAAATTTCTGAAAATTTACCAACCATCGCTTGTGAGCCAGAACAAGCCAGCTCCAGCACATGCAGCCTGAACATATGATACTATTTGCCAAACCCTACATTGAAATCATTAAAAAAGTCTGAGTTCAAGCAAACCAGCCCAAAGAGTCAACCTTTGCCACCCAATAAGAATCAGAATCAAGCCTACATACAATTCCAATAAGCAGAGAAGAACAAAACTGGTACATCAAATATTAGATCCAGAATTTAACAAGTAAATCCAGAACAATTTAGTTAGTCTACTGTTTCCTCTACCTACATACTTAACTATGAAAGGACTTCAGTTTTGACTGAGCTCCTGGGAAGTTTTGGCATCAGTGCCCAAAGCCAATAACTGATTTTGACAAAGGAAATTTACCTGGGTATCAGTTGGTCTAGCTGCTGCATTGCAGTCATTGTCATCCACCACTGACATGTATGTCCCAATGATGCATTTCACTGCTCTTAGCTGGTATCCCTGTCCACAAGTGACACTGCACTGGGGGAAAGAAGTAAAACGAAAGTATAT